TTTTTTAACAACTGATATTGATTTTCCATCGCTGTCTCCCACTCTTGCAATATCCAGTCCAATGTGTATAACAAAATAATCCCATGGTTCAATTAAAATTTGATTAACTTCTTTGAGATCGACATTATACTTCATTGTGATTGTAATAGGCTTATCGGGTTTATAATTGTACACATGCATCACAGCACGTATACAACTTGTGGTGGTTGGATCCTGACAATTGAAAACAATTGTACGATTGACAGGACATCTATCCTTCAAATCATCACCTAGTAAATCATATGCCCTCACATGTTGTAAACGTGCATATTGATCCTTCGTTGCAGTTTTTGTAGCGAGCTCACGTCGTTTACGTGTCATTGATGCAACCATTACAGTATCTATAAGTGATAAAAATATTGAAATTATATTAAATTTTATTTGTAATAATACTTAGTACTTAAAAATAATAGCATTCCTATTACTATATTTAGATGGACTTATAAGACATAAAATTTTCTTTCAATAATATGCGAATATTTATCACATATCAACTTAGTGTAATTATATTTTGTTCAATGTATTACATATATTTACAGTACTGAAGTTCTAGTGGTAAAAAAAGATACAAATATACTGAGAGGTTTTTAAATCTTTTAAATCTGTAGTAAAAATTTTTATTCTTTACTTAGAGATTTTTTTGACCACTGACATTCTCCACTCTGTTTTATTTGCCCATATTCTATAATTAGACAGAGTTAACTGACGATTGAAATAGAATAAACTCATAGCAAGATGAACAAGTTTCAATGTCGATAGAAATATGTTATAGATATTTTTCTCTGAATGATATTAAATATAAATAAAATACTCGAATGAAAATGACGTATCAATGACGATAGAAATATGGATAAAAATATCAATTACATATATCTATCGGAATGATACTAAATATGAATAAAATACTAGAATGAAAACTATCACTAGATTATTATTATCCTGCTGAAGAAAATATAATACTACAACTTTAAGACCTATTCTCCTAATCTAGGACTGATATTTTAAGTCATCGTGAAATTCTGTATTTGATAATTGATTTATTAGATGATTGACGCCATCTTGATCATCAAATCCAGAAAATTTATTCGTTTATGCATCAGTCATTTAATCACGTCATAATAAAACTAAACCTACCTACAAAACAAATTAAGATATAGTCTCATGATCAAAGCCAACAGATAACAAAATGTATATGATGAGACATTTTATAATGAAAAGAGGGGTCTAAGAGTAATACCCCCTATTCATCCAAATTTTTCCTTTTTTTGTTGGCTTATACAAAAAATTTTAAATAAATTACTTCTTACAACACTACTCACCCTCTTATTTTTTTTTTTCAATTGGTTAGATATACTCATTTTTAATTTTTTGGACAGAACTAAGTGACCGAAAAATAAAATAAAATTTAAATATGTGCTTTTTCCATAGATTAATTGAGTAAAGACAGACTTAATATTATATAGAAAAAATTTTATGCAACGAAAACCTGTATGAGCTATACTAAAATATTGACATAGTTAACTGCATAAAAATTTAGCGACCTCGCTGGCTTTATCCTGAGTTGCAAATGAAAGAAAATATTCCGACGAGAAAGGTGTTTGATTTGGTACCGGGTGGTGAAAAATATGGAAGAGGAGGTTCAAATATTTGGTGGAAACACCAGGTGATCAATAATCGGAAGATACTCGAGAATGCCAACTGGCGATAGCAAACCTTCGATCGGGTAGAGTGGAGGAAGCTGCTAGACTTGGTCAGCAACGAATCAGAACTAAGTTAGTAAAAGTATAATTCTTGTTGTTAGGTTTCAGTACTACTTGTATTCTTATTGCAGAGATATTTTTTTTTCTCTGTGTATATCTCCAGTTTTGCGTACTGATGGGAACTAATATGAGTTCAAATCTTTACTACCTACTGTTCAAAAAATTATTAATAAATAAAAAAATCCAAGATATATTCCCAAAGATCAGTGATAATGGATAATGATAATTAAAAGCAAATGCTATTACTATTATAATTAAATTAAAAATATTAAAAATGAAGTATAAAAATTGTTTTTAAATACTTACTTTCTAAATCATTGCCTTGTGAGCTATGCCCGAAGTCCATGTCTATATGACCAACTTTGCTAGAATCATAATGTATGCCATTCATACTATCTACAAATACTTTCGTAATCTCTTTTGTAGTTTTACTGGTGATTTCATAAGTGTTCATAAGTAACTGCGTATTATTATCATAATAATCAATGCCAACCAGTTGAGAATCATAGACTGCTTGCATAGTAATATTATTGGAATTAATTATAGGTATAGTAGCACTTGAGCCTTGTACTTTATATGCTATGGGTATATTGAAAACTATTTCCAAAGCACCAACTCTACTTGGACCATTACTTTTGATCTAATATAAAATGTATTATGCTCATTATTTTTGAAAATTATAAAATTGTTCTTAACTTACTTCATAACTGTTTACAATTTCAGTAGTATTGAAGACCTTCTCCAAATTAATATATGGTGTTTTAGGTATTCTAGAATAAATTTTTTATTAATGTAAAAATTATTTTTAAAGTTTAAATAAAAATAAGTATAGAAATAAAAAGAATATGTAATATTTGTTTACTTAAAGGTACTTCACATCTTTGTAATTTATAATAGTATATACTGATATTATAAATAATCTCAATACAATAGCTTATTATTATTATAGATTTTTTATACATTATTATAATTATAATTTTGTCAAGATATTTTGCACTGCCATATTTCTGAAACCTCATGACACCTGAAGTTTTTCTCTGAATCAAATTGCCTAAATGAATTCTAATATTGTATCTACTTTTCTTAGTCTCATGAATTTATAATATATATATTATATAGTTTTAGAATAATATTCAACATAAACAAAGCATGGTAATCTTTTTTTTAAAAACGATCACACAATTTTTATAATCATTTAAAGATAATATAGCACTGTGTCTTTAAAGCCTACTGTGCTCCCCTTATGAATTTAGACTAAACTTTTAAGTCATTCTTAAATGAAATGTAAATGCATCAGTCACACATTTATGGTACTTCAGAAAAAAACTAAACCTACCTACAAAAAAAATTGGTCTCATGGTCTCATGAGAGCCCGTGAGGGTAATACGCCTTACCAACTTAAAGCTATTGTAATGAGTCTTATAAAGAGGGACTAATAAATATCGAAAACGAAAAATATAATAATAAAAATCCACATTAGAAAAATTAAATGCTTACCCCACTGCTTCAATTTCGGTGTACTCCTTCAATGTTATGACATCTCTGACAATATTGTCTGTTGGTGTTTGCTCTACACCTGTACTAAACACTTCAGCAGTTAAAATCATTGTTTTGCCCGATATACCACTTACATCGTAGATAACTGTTATCGAGTCCGAATTACCATTTGCCATGGGTTGTCCACGATTTAGATCACAAACCATAACAACAGCTTCATTATTGACCCTACAATTTGAGGGTATTCTTGCGAATGGCATACGATTCGAGGAAGTCAAATTGATTTGTGGTAGATATGCAGTCTCACCCATGTTGTTTATATCATAAGTAATAGATAAAGTGCGACTGCTGCCTAATATATATGAGTGACTATATAAATGAGAGAAAAAGAATTAGATATCTTAACAATAACAATATATTATTTTAAAGTAACTTACTCTGCACCAATGCGACTTCTCACTTTAAGATCTGCTATGCAAATATCCGATTTGCAACCCGTGCTGAAGATCAATTTTTCTACGAATACTTTGGGGTCAAGTGGATCAACAGCAACGCAATCTTCACAAAAAACTGAAATATTTATATGTATATATATTAAAAATAGCTGTAGTGTTTAGGGTATACAGTTAGAGGTTCAAAAGCACTTATTTTTATTTATAATCCAATATTTAATTTTTTTTTTTATGTTTTAGTTTGTTTAGTGTAAATCTATACTTAAAATTTATGTTTTAAGTCATATATAATTATCTATTATTAATTAAAGTATCACATTATTTTATAAACACAAACCTTCTGACATTGGCACTCCTTTTATAATATCATAATGAATCTCCAATTCGATTGGCTTGAAGATATCTGCTACATTGTAACTAACAATATCGGCGTCCAGTAAGCTACACTTCGTTTGTAGGCCAGCACTCACATTAAAACTCATTTCATTTGCTTGTGTTTGTGCGATTTTTACACGTTTTACTTGTGGATCTACCACTACCTTTAAAGTTAAATCTTGATTTTTAACTTTCGTTGATTTAGTCGATATTTTATAGCAGCATTTAAGTTTAAAGCTTTTCTGATCTGGTTTAATTTCACGGGTATCTGAGTTAATAGTGGTAATGACTTTTACCACAGGATATGCACGATAAACAAAAATGGATTCAGCATTTGGAGCACCAATTGCAAAATCATTGAAGCCATTATTGTCTATATCGGAACCTTTTGAAAGTCCATGACCGAACATGTGGGCGCCATATTTACTACTAACACTTGTCGGTGACTTCAAGTGTTGACTGGGATGTTCACGCAAACCTTTCTCGCTACCCAAATAAATGAAAACTTGTCCATTACCAGCAAATGGTGCTCCTACAGCTATATCATTGAAACCATCGCCATTAATGTCTCCCAATTTCGTAAGAGCAGTGCCAAAGCGTGCTTGGCCACTGACTGGTGAAGTCAACAATTTTTTCTCAAAACTGAACTATATATTATAAAGAGAGTGTGTTCCAAGTTATTATAAAGATTTTCTTTTAAATAAGATTTTACTTATTTAACTACTTACATTTGCTTTATTTATATAGACATATATAGCGCCATCATCGAAAGAACCAGATTTGCGGTGCTGTGGTGCAGAAACAATAACATCAGTGAGTCCATCACCATTTAAATCCTCCGCCAAAACGGCATAACCATAATATTCACCAAATTGTTCACCAAAAAAGACGAAATTTTTTGTTATTGTATTACCGGTGAAGTCAAATATATAAGCCTGGTTTAAAAATTATTTAAAAAACATTAGAAAAAAAACAAGATTCTATATTTTAACATTGTACTTACCTCGCCAGTTTGACTTTTTGCTTGTGGTGCACTTGCTACATAAGTCACTTTCGTTGGATTAGAACTATCAAAATGACCTGAACTCACTGAGTAACCAAAGTAGGAATCATTGTCTTGTTCCCACTTTTCTGGATTGGGTATATCGCTTAAATATGTAATATCTGCTTGACGTGGTACACGTTTACCTGTTGTATCACGTCGACTTAATGATGGATCCTCAGTTGCATCATGTTTACGATAACGTATAACAGAACCTTTCCAATTATGTATTCCTGGTGCACCAATTAATATTTCTTCATTATTTTCGGTAATATGTGCACTTAAGCCCTGTTCGGCTAAATAATAAAAATAATAGCGTTTTCCCTCGTCCGTTGTTCTAATCTGATCAGTGCGTAAACGTAAAGGTGAAATCTTTTGAACATTTGTTGGATTTTGACTAATTGTATCATTTATCCAATAGCATACACCATGCATAAGATAATCGTCTGAGGTTGGTGCTACAAATCTTGGAGCGCATACTAACAACTTATCGGTATCTTTGGCACCACCATCCATTGACGCGCCCAACCATTGAAAATCACGTTTTTCAGAATCATCTGTATAACCATTAAATGGTACCTTACGATTACCATCGCTTTCAAATACATAGGGGCTACAAGTTGTAGTTGTTAGTGAACACCGATAGATGGCACCAGTTTCGTTTATATTTCGCTGAGACTCAAGCGTTGATTGGGCACGTGGTGCTCCAACAATTATACTGTCAATATAAAATATGATATTTATGTAATTTTTATTGAAAAATATGTATGTAATTGTGTATATAAAAATATATATATATATTAATTTTAAGTTTATTATGAAATAATATTTTTATTTGCTATATCTCTTGTGTAAAAATTGAAATCTATTTGAAAAGACAAGGGGGAATAAAATATATAATACAAAATTAATTATCGAGAAAATAATTTTTATATAAAATATGAAATGTATAAATCTTTCGATGAATCTCTACACATTTAAGAAAAGATTCTAGATTAATTCTATATTTGATCTGAAGCAAATCGGCAGAGACTTATATCTTATTCCTATTTCAATGATCTTAAATTCAATTTTTTCAAAATAAATTAAAATATATATTATATATAAAAAAGCAATATACATATATATAAGTAAATTAATATTGGCATGGTTGGCCTATAGACTTTATTACCACTACTGAAACATCAAGCCTAGAATTTAGAAATGTTTCAAAGACTTACTATATATTATATCAATACCTGATACTGGGTTAAGCCACAGAAAATGGTTTTCATGGTTTTCTGTTTTTCCACCTTTATTTTTTAATAAATATTTAAGTGATTAAGTAATTAATAATGTTACAACAGTATTTATATACGTATCTCAATATGGAGTTATGTGAATAAATTGAAAAGTACCAATATTATGGAATATTTATACTGTAAACATTTATGAATAATATTTGCCAATATTTGCAATATATATTAAAAAAAAATTATTGCATTATATGTTGTTTTGGACTGCAATGAATAAAAATATTTATTCATAATAATTTGAAGTGTAGTTCTGCCGGTTGTAATCTTATCAATTAATATCTAGCAATACGAAGGCGATATAGATAAGCTATTTATATTTAGCCATATTGGTAACAATGTTGCCAAATATTAGGTGTGGATATTATATTTATAATGAATACAATTTATTGTTTTATGTATTCGTAATATTTTAAAAGTGAATTTAAGAGTAATTTAGTGACCAACGATTTACCGTTTAAGTGTTCAGATAAAATTAGTGCGAGTATGTCTCATGAATATAGTCATTAACTAATTGCTTTTAAATACTTACAGACATTATAAGTATCTATCAAAAATATAAATTCAAGGAATATTCTTACTAGTACTACTATATTTAAACCACTTTTTATATGCTTAATAATCATGTATAGTTACCCATACAGTAGCCAAAAAATATTTTTTTTATTATGCCAGTATCAGTAATAAAAGAAAAAACTATGATTAGTTATACATTATGATATATGTATTATAGGTATATCATAATAATATTATTATTTAAAAAATAATAACGGTTAATTATTCAATTAATTAAAAAAAATGCAGAAGATACTCAAGTTACCCAGTTTCTTAGTTCTAGCAAATGTCTTTCAATGACCTTCATTGAATCGAATATGGTTTGAGGTCTTAAACCAAGAAATATTATTAAACTTGTTTATCTTTAGCGATAATATGCATAAGTACGCTAAGGAGACTCTATTAAGGGTAATAAAGTTAAGCTATTTTTCCATGGTATGCCTATTCTATTCTGTTTTATTCTATTTTTAATTTGTTTATACTGAGTTTTGTGATAAAATAATATATTTCAGTCATAGATGTTAACTCTCTTCAATCTTACGTTAACCCATCAATCACCAAGAAATTATTTTGTCAAATAAATGAACTTGTATATTAAAAATCCATCTATACCATGTTAAGATGTCTATAATAGATACTTGTCAATTATGAAAAAAAAGAGATGTATTTTTAAATAATGATATGAGTCGCAATAAGATTCGATCCTTTTGAACCCAATACCTTTCTAGTTACTTGCAAAAAATCAAAATTTTCTTGATATTCAAATACTTTTTAAGTATTTGAGAGGCTAATTTTGAGAATATCTAATTTTAGTAAAATGAGAACTACTCAATTCCAAATGTGTCACTACGGTTAAATGCACAACAACTTATTCCAGAAATGACAGTTTGGAGATACCTATAGTAAATTCTCACAGTAGTGCTTAGATTAATATGTAGTCTAGACGATGTGTCTGTAAGTAGTGAAAAAAGGCTACTTAATAGATTGTGAGTGTCACAGTGCACCCACAATGACCCTATACCTATTAATGTTTATATAAAAATACACGTAAACTTCAATCTTCCGCTCTTAGTGCTTTTTTTTTACTGCGTGGAGCTTTATAACACATCGACTGATGAGTTCGTATAATGACACACTGGCAGTGCTACTACTAATGAAAAATCCATAATCCACCAAAATCCACTGGATCTTATCTCTTTGAAAGATACATCCATAACTATCTTTTAACATATGGATATGAGTATATAAAACTTTTATTAGTACACTCACGAAATGAACACTTCTTAAAAAATGATCTTTTAACATATGGATGTGAGTTTATGAAACTTTTATTAGTACACTCACGGAATGAACACTTCTTAAAAAAGGATCATTTCTAGTTCTATTTTCTAATCGTATATTTTTTGATTGACTGGGTTATTGTTGCTTATATGCATACTTGTGGCTAGAAGCATAACTGTGTATGTGTACTAACTACAGTACGTGAATATATGAGATAGTAAAAGAGTGAATTACGAATGAATGAATGCTTAAATTGTAGCAACAAATTTTTGCTAGGATAAGCAAATATATTATTAGTGAATCGCCACAGGAAATCCAAATATATAAAATGTGGAGTGTTTGCAAGAGAATTGAGTGAATTATGAATGAATAAGTGAATGCTTGAATGTATGAATTGCAGTAACAAATCTCAGCAAGTGTAAGCGAATATAAAAAAAGTGAATCTTCAAAAAAAAATGTAAATGAATAAACTGAACTCTTTGCAATTTAAGTGTATTATGAATGAATAAGTGAATGTGTGAATGTTTGAATTGCATTAACAAATCTTAGCAAGTGTAAGCATATAGGTTAGGTTGTACCGTCGATCCGAGGGGGACTCACTTAGGTCCATTGTGATAAAGTGTAAGCATACATAAAAAAATTATTTACAGAAGGTTTCTGGTATACATAGTAATAAACAATATAATAATCAATCAATCAAATATCTGTAGTAGCTTTAGATGAAAAATTCTTGTTGTTCAATCTTTTAACATTTCAATTAATATAAGATTACAAATATACATTTTATGTTTCTAACAATGAGATAAATATTTTTATAAACTTTTTTTTATAAAGAGGTTTTTTTTTTAAAAATCATAAAAACCAATTTAAGAGAATATGTCACCAATGTTTTTTAGCAAACCAAAAAGCACCCCGACATACCCACTCTATAAACCAAAAACAAAAATCAACAACAAAAAAAAAAAAAAAAAAAAAAAAAAAAACACTAACAAAAATCTTTATATATAAATTTAACTACTAATGTAATTATCCATTACAATAATACTCGAGTGTAAATCTAATCTGGAAATAAGATAGATTTCTTATTATTAATATAAAAAATTTAGATTGACAGAAATTCAATCACCTTTAGTTCAATAGAGCAAACTGTGCCTTTGCGTTTGTTGTTGGTGCTGTCTTGTTTCTTTGCGTTAAGTTATCGTAATATTGTGTAGGTGTATTGTTGTTCTTTCTTTTATATAAAACGATAAAAAAAAACAATAAGGTATTGATTCGCAGGTACTTTCGTATTATTTTTGTTAAACTGTATTTATATATTAATTATATGTGTAGCATTTTTATTTTCTTATATATTTTTGATGCTCTTGAGTTTTTTTTTTAGTGTATGGCTTTCTGGAGTTGACTTATGAATTTATTAATATACCAGAATTGCTAAGGTTCTACTAGCCATATTGGGATTGTCTTTGGCTAAGGAATGTGGCCTTGGGTTTTTGATGCATTGGGTTTTTGGTTTTTACCTTAATTCTATAAGACTAAATTTCCCCCAAAGATATCAGCGTGATATTTTTGGCATATTCCCATATTTCCGAAGTTTTAATAACATTTTTTCGAATTTTTAATACTAAACGTACATACGCGCTAAAGATTTTATTTCGCTTTAAAGACCCAACGTACGACTTCTTCGATCTAACGACTTAGCTTAACTGAGCACGTCTTGTGCGTCTGGGTATTAACCAGCACTTCATTCTGTTATCATTTGCCGCACTTTTAATACGAAAACAATTTAACTGAGTTAACTGTTCTCTTAACTCTTTTTTTCTTGATGTCTGTTGACAATAAAATATTGGCATAATGACTTGTACATACGCGTAAACGAACAGTTGCTAGCCTTTGTTCTTCATTGAGAATATTGTATAAAACCGGTAATTCAATATAAAATAAACAATCATTTACAGCAAAATTTGCTCTTCACTCTAATTACTCTTCTGTTTCTTTTTAATATACTCTTAATTCCACTAAGTGAACACTTAGAAATTTGTTTACTTGCGCTTAAAACTAGGCAATGCAAATCAATTCATTGCAAACACCAAAGCAATTTAAAG